TATATGTGGTATCACGCCTCGATTTAATTTTTTTCTGTATTTTGTGGTGCCACTCTCCGTTTTTAATTTTTTTTCTTTTCTTTGTGGTGTCATCCCTCAATTTTAATTGAAAAAAACTTCTTTTATTTTTCTTATATTTTGTAGTGTCATTTCTTAATTAATTTTTTTATTTTGTGGTGCTACCCCTCGATCTTATTTTTTTTTTTCCTTTATTATGTGGTGTCACTCCTCGATTTTGTTTTTTTTTTCTACTCTGTAGAGTCACTTCTTGATTTATTTTATTTTTTTTCTTTTATTATGTGGTTCACTCTCCGAAAAAAAATTTTATGGGGTCACTCTCTCATCGGACATTTAACTGTCAAATTCAATTTTGACAGATATTGAAAATACAATTTCAATAAACAAAAATGACACGAATTTGAAACTTACTAATTAACATCTTAATGTCGAAAAATTATGACATTTTGACAAGTGTCAATTTTTTTCATTGTACTGTCAAATTTTGACAGCTGTCGAAAATTTTTCAATGTCCGACAACAAAAATGATACAAATTTGAAGCTCAATAATTGACATTTCATTGTCAAAAAATGTGACATTTGACAGGTTTTTTTTTTTTCGAACAACCTCATTGGACATTCAACTTTCAAATTTTAACAGCTGTCGATAATTTTCCAATTTCAATAAACAAATTTAAAACTCAATAATTGATATCTTATTGTCAGAAATCGTGAAATTTGACAGGTGTCTTTTTTTTTTTTTGACAATCTCATTAAAGATCCAACTTTAAAATTTTGACAGTTGTTGAAAAAATTTCAATTAATAAAAATAACACGAGTTTGAAGCTCACTAATTGACACAAAATTCGTAACTCTTTGACAGGTGTCATTTTTTTTACGATCCTATCAGACATCTTACTGTTAAATTTTGACATCTGTCAAAAAGTTTTAAATTTAAATTAACGTAAATGAAACAAGATTTGAAATTTAATTGATATTTTATTGTCAAAAATCATAACATCTAATAGGTGGTTTTTTGACAACCTCATTGAACATTCAACTGTCAAATTTTGACAATTGTGGAAAATTTTCTAGGTTCAATCAATAAAAATAAAACAAATTTGAAGATCAATAATTGACATTTTATTGTCAAAAATCGTGACATTGACGCGTATTTTTTTTTTTGAACGACCTCATCGGACATCAAGTTGTCAAATTTTGACATCTATCGAAAATTTTTAGATTTTAATCAACAATTTTGAAGCTCAATAATCGACATCTCATTGTTAAAAATCGTGAAATTTGACAGGTGTTTTTTTTTTTTATTAACCTCATCAGAGGTCATAGTTTGACAGCTGTCGAAAATTTTCTAATTTTATTCAACAAAAATGATACAAATTTGAAGCTCAATAATCGATATCTTATTGTTGAAAATCGTGACATTTGATTAATTTCTTTTTTTTTAGCAACCTCATTGGACATTTAACTGTCAAATTCAATTTTGACAGATGTTGAAAATACAATTTCTATGAACAAAAATGACACGAATTTGAAACTTACTAATTAACATCTTAATGTCGAAAAATGAGGGCATTTTGACAAGTGTCAATTTTTTTCATTGTACTGTCAAATTTTAATAGCTGTCGAAATTTTTTAAATGTCAGACAACAAAAATTATACAAATTTGAAGCTCAATAATTGACATTTCATTGTCAAAAAATGTGACATTTGACAGGTTTTTTTTTTTTTCAAACAACCTCATTGGACATTCAACTTTCAAATTTTAACAGCTGTCGATAATTTTCCAATTTCAATAAACAAATTTAAAACTCAATAATTGATATCTTATTGTCAGAAATCGTGAAATTTGACAGGTGTCTTTTTTTTTTTTGACAATCTCATTAAAGATCCAACTTTAAAATTTTGACAGTTGTTGAAAAAATTTCAATCAATAAAAATAACACGAGTTTGAAGCTCACTAATTGACACAAAATTCGTAACTCTTTGACAGGTGTCATTTTTTTTACGATCCTATCAAACATCTTACTGTTAAATTTTGACATCTGTCAAAAAGTTTTAAATTTAAATTAACGTAAATGAAACAAGATTTGAAATTTAATTGATATTTTATTGTCAAAAATCGTAACATCTAATAGGTGGTTTTTTGACAACCTCATTGAACATTCAACTGTCAAATTTTGACAATTGTGGAAAATTTTCTAGGTTCAATCAATAAAAGTAAAACAAATTTGAAGATCAATAATTGACATTTTATTGTCAAAAATCGTGACATTTGACGCGTATTTTTTTTTTTGAACGACCTCATCGGACATCAAGTTGTCAAATTTTGACATCTATCGAAAATTTTTAGATTTTAATCAACAATTTTGGAACTCAATAATCGACATCTCATTGTCAAAAATCGTGAAATTTGACAGGTGTTTTTTTTTTTTTTTTTTGATTAACCTCATCAGAGGTCATAATTTGACAGCTGTCGAAAATTTTCTAATTTTATTCAACAAAAATGATACAAATTTGAATCTCAATCAATCGACATCTTATTGTTAAAAACTGTGACATTTGATAAATGTTTTTCTTCTAAGCAACCTCATTAGACATTTAACTATCAAATTTTGACATCTGTCAAAAATTTTCCAATTTTAATCAACAAATTTGGAGACATCTTGTTGTAAAAATTACGAGAATTACGAAAACTATGAAAATTACAAGGATTATTGAAAAATGACAGAAATTACGAAAAAATCTATATTTTACGAAAATTAAGACAAATTAGCAAAATACAAAAAATAACGGAAAATTACAAAACTTACGAAAAAAATACGCAAACTATGAAAATTACGGGAATTATTGAAAAATTACAGAAATTACGAGAAAATCGAAATTTTGCAAAAAAATTAAAAATTAAAAAAATTACGGGAAATAACGAAACATAACGAGAATTACGAAAAAAATACGAAAACTATGAAAATTACGGAAATTAATTAAAAATAACAGAAATTACGAGAAAATCGAAATTTTACGAAAATTACAAGTTTGTAAAATCACGAAAAATTACGAAACTACAAAAATTACGGAGATCATTGAAAATTGATAAAAATTACGAAAAAATCGAAATTTGTGAAAATTACGACAGATTAGCAAAATTAAGAAAAATAATGGAAAATTACGAAAAATCACGAGAATTACGAAAAAAATACGAAAACTATGAAAATTACGGAAATTATTTAAAAATGTCAGAAATTACGAAAAAACCGAAATATTGCGAAAATTACGACAAATTTGCAAAATTGCAAAAATTACGAAAAAAATACGAAAACTATGAAAATTACGGAAATTATTGAAAAATCACAGAAATTACAAAAAAATGAAATTTTTAGAAAATTTTGTAAAATTACGAGAAGTACGAAGAAAAAAACGAAAAATATGAAGATTATGAAAAATTACGAGAATTACGAAAAAAATACAAAAATTATGAAAATTTCGGAGATTATTGAAAAATGACAAAAATTACGACAAATTAGTAAAGTTACGAAAAATAATGAAAAATTACGAAAAAATGACGAAAAATTAGGAGAATTACGGAAAAAATACGAAAACTATGAAAATTACGAAAATTATTGAAGAATAACTGAAATTACGTAGAAAACTAAATTTTACGAAAATTACAAAAAATTACGAGAATTACGAAAAAATACGGAAATTATTGAAAAATGACAGAAATTATGAAAAAATCGATATTTTACGAAAATTACGACAAATTAGCAAAATACAAAAAATAACGGAAAATTACAAAACTTACGAAAAAAATACGCAAACTGTGAAAATTACGGGAATTATTGAAAAATTACAGAAATTACGAAAAAATCGAAATTTTACGGAAATTACAATAAATTTGAAAAATTATAAATACGATTATTGAAAAATGACAGGAATTACGAAAAAATTGATATTTTACGAAAATTACGGTAAATTAGTAAAATAACGAGAATAATTACAACAAAAATATGTGAACTATGAAAATTACGGAAATTATTGAAAAATGACAGAAATTACGAAAAAATCGAAATTTTGCAAAGAAATTAAAAATTAGAAAAATTATGGGAAATAACGAAAGATAACGAGAATTACGAAAAAAATACGAAAACTATGAAAATTATGGAAATTAATTAAAAATAACAGAAATTACGAGAAAATCGAAATTTTACGAAAATTACAAGTTTGTAAAATCACGAAAAATTACGAAACTTACAAAAATTACGGAGATCATTGAAAATTGATAAAAATTACGAAAAAATCGAAATTTGTGAAAATTACGACAGATTAGCAAAATTAAGAAAAATAATGGAAAATTACGAAAAATCACGAGAATTACGAAAAAAATACGAAAACTATGAAAATCACGGATATTATTTAAAAATGTCAGAAATTACGAAAAAACCGAAATATTGCGAAAAATCCGACAAATTTGCAAAAATTACAAAAAAAATACGAAAACTATGAAAATTACGGAAATTATTGAAAAATCACAGAAATTACAAAAAAATCGAAATTTTTAAAAAATTACGAAAAGTTTGTGAAATTACGACAAGTACGAAGAAAAAAACGAAAACTATGAAGATTATGAAAAATTACGAGAATTACGAAAAAAATACAAAAATTATGAAAATTTCGGAGATTATTGAAAAATGACAAAAATTACGACAAATCAGTAAAGTTACGAAAAATAATGAAAAATTACGAAAAATGACGAAAAATTACGAGAATTACGAAAACTATAAAAATTACGAAAATTATTGAAAAATGACTGAAATAACGAAAAAAATCGAAATTTTGCGAAAATTACGACGAATTTTCAAAATTACGAAAAATTACGAGAATTACGGAAAATATAGAAAAACTATCAAAATTACGGAAATTATTGAAAAATAGAAATTTTACAAAAATTACAATCAATTAGTAAAATTACGATTTTTTTTTTCCAGGTCATGCTGACAATCCTCGGCTGCTTCACCGTTTGCTGGCTCCCCCTACCTAGCAACCACCATCTACTGCCGGCACAATCCCGGCTCGCCGGCAACCCGCTACTACGAGATCGCATTTAATCTGGCCGTAGCTAACTCAGGAATGAACCCGATTATTTACGCCTGGAAAAACCGAAACTTCCGCGCCTCCTTTTTGCAGTTGACGCGCTGCCGCAAGCCGGACGACGCTCCGTCGCGCGCGCTGCGCTTCGTTACCGATCACGTGCCGCGCACGCGCGACGGGTCATGCGATCGATTTTGACGTATCGACTCTTAATTGTAAAAGTGACATTTTAAATGCAAATTGCAACCGATTTTGACGTATCGACTGTCAAAGTTAAAGTGACATTTCTATTTCAAATGTGAATATAAGGACGACTGTTGACTGTTAAAATGACATTTTATCCAAATGCGACTGTCATGTGTCAAATTTTTTAATAAATTATTTATTTTTCAAGTTACATTTTGACGTAAATGTCATTATTACCTGAAAACTATTTTTTTTAAATTTTTGTATTTTTTGTTAGTTTCATATTATTGAAATCGATTTTTGAAAATCGATTCAAGTATCGATTTAGGATGAATTTTGAAAATCGATTTTAGAAAGTCTACTAAAATAACTAACTAAATAACTACGTATCGATATTCAAGAATCGATATTGAGATTGATTTTTCAATAATCGATATCAAAATCGATTTTAAATAAGAGTTCAATCGACCAAATCGATTTTTCAAAATCGATTAGCGCATCAATTAAAGGGGTGAGAATAATTGACAATTAAAATTCGTAATTCTAATGTCGTAATTTTCGTGAAATTTCAATTTCTCCGTAAATTTTCGTAAAATTTCGATTTTTTCGTAATTTCTGTCATTTTTCAATAATTTCCGTAATTCCCATAGTTCACATATTTTTTTTTGTAATTATTCTCGTTATTTTACTAATTTACCGTAATTTTCGTAAAATTTCAATTTCTTCGTAATTTTCGTAATTTCTGTCATTTTCAATAATTTCTGTTATTTATAATTTTCATTTTTTTTTTTCATGATTTTGCTAATTTGTCGTTATTTTCGTAAAATATCAATTTTTTCGTAATTCCTGTAATTTTTCAATAATCGTATTTATAATTTTTCAAATTTATTGTAATTTCCGTAAAATTTCGATTTTTTCGTAATTTCTGTAATTTGTCAATAACTCCCGTAATTTTCATAGTTTGCGTATTTTTTTCGTAAGCTTTGTAATTTTCCGTAATTTTTTGAATTTTGCTAATTTGTCGTAACTTTTCAATGATCCCTGTAACTTTCAGTTTTCGTAATTCTCGTAATTTTTTGTAATTTTGCAAATTTGTCCTTATTTTCACAAAATTTCGTTGTTTTCGTAATTTCTGTAATTTTTCAATAATTTCCGTATTTTTTCGTAATTCTCGTAATTTTTTGTAATTTTCGTTTTCTACGTAATTTTTCGTAATTTCAGTTATTCTTCAATAATTTCCGTAATTTTCATGGTTTTCGTAATTTTGCTAATTTGTCGTAATTTTCATAAAGTTTCTATTTCTCCGTAATTTTTTGTAATTTCTGAAATTCTTCAATCCCTCCCGTAATTTTTTTGATCTTCATAATTTTAGTAATTTTTCGTAATTTTGCTAATTTGTCGTAATTTTCGTGAAATTACGATTTTTCCGTAATTTTTCGTAATTTCATTAATTCTTCGATTTTCTCCGTAATTTCATTCTTATAACTTCGTAATTTTGCTAATTTGTCGTAATTTTCATAAAATTTCAATATCTCCGTAATTTTTCGTAATTTCCTCAATTCTTTGATTTTTTCCGTAATTTTTGTTGTTTTCGTTTTATTTTTCGTAATTATGCCAATTTACATTTTCTGTAAAATTTCGATTTCTTCGTAAGTTTTCGTCATTTTCGTAATTTTGCTAGCTTGTCGTAATTTTCGTAAAATTTCGATTTCTCCATAAGTTTTCGTAATTCTATTAATTCTTCAATTTTCTTCGTAATTTTGATAGTTTTAGTTTTTTTTTTTTCGTAATCTTGTCAATTTGTGATTTCCGTGAAGATACCATTTATCCGTAATTTTTTGTAATTTCTGTCATTCTTCAATAATTTTCGTAATTTCATGGTTGTCATTTTTTTTTTCGTAATTATTGTAACTTCATAATTATGCTAATGTTCAATTTTTCCGTAATTTTTCGTAAATTTCTTTAATTCTTCGATTTTTTCCGTAATTTTTAAAGTTTTCGTTTTTTTTCTGTAATTTTTTGTAACTTTGCTAATTTGTCGTAATTTTCGTAAAATTTCAATTTCTCCGTAATTTTTCGTAATTTCTTTAATTCTTCGATTTTCTCCGTATTTTTATAGTTTTCATTTTCATTATTCGTAGTTCTCCTAATTTGTCGTTATTTTGCTAAATTGTCGTAATTTTTGTAAAATTTCAATCTCTTTTCGTAAAGTTTCGATTTCCCCGTAATTTTTCGAAATTTCTTTAATTCTCCGATTTTCTCTGTGATTTTTGGAGTTTTCGCTTTTTTTTTTTTCGTAATTTCCGTTGTCGTAATTTTCCAAAATTTTCGGTTTCTCACTAATTTCATTAATTCTTCCATTTTTTGCGTAATTTTCATAGTTTCCGTTTTTTTTTTCTTATTTTTGCCAATTTGTAATTCTCGTAAAATTTCAATTTTTCGTAATATTAGTAATATATTCTTTTATAATTTCCGTAATTTTCATATTTTTCCGTTTTTTTTGGCGTAATTCTTGTAACTACATAATTTTGTTAATTTGTCGTAATTTTTATAAAATTTCGATTTTTCCGTAATTTTTTGTAATATCATTATTTTTTCGATTTTCTCTGTGAATCCCATAGTTTTAGTTTTTTTTTTTTTTTCGTAATTTTTGTAACTTCAATATTTTGTTAATTTGTCGTAATTTTTGTAAAATTTGAATTTTTCCGTAACTTTTCGTAATTTCCCTAATTCTTCGATTTTCTTCGTAATTTTTATAATTTTCGTTTTTTTTTTTTTTCTTTTTCGTAATTTCTGTCATTTTTCAATAATTTCCGTAATTTTCATAGTTTTCGTTTTTTTTTTTTCTCATAATTTCACCAATTTGTAATTTCCGTAAAGTTTCGATTTTTCCGTAATTTTTCGTAACTTCTGTTATTCTTTTATAATTTCCGTACTTTTCATAATTTTCGTTTTTTTTTTTTTCATTTTTTGTAATTTTCCAAATTTGTACTTCACGTAAAATTTCGATTTCTCCGTAATTCTTATAATTTCATTATTTCTTCGATTTTCTCTGTAAATTCCATAGTTTCCGTTTTTTTTTCCGTAATTCGTAGTTTTGCATATTTTTGTAAAATTTCGATTTCTCCGTAATTTTTCGAAATTTTCGTAATTTTGTTAATTTGTCATTATTTTCGTAAAATTTCTGTCATTCTTCTATAATTTCCGTAATTTTCATAGTTTTCGTTTTTTTTTCCCGTTATTCTTGTAACTTTGTAATTTTGATAATTTATCGTAATTTCTTCATATTTTTTAAATTATTTTAAAATGACGAAAAAAATAAAAAAACTAAAGAAATTACGAAAAATTGGAGAAAAATTGAAATTTTACGAAAATTACGATAAATTAGCAAAATTACGAAGTTACAAAAATTACAAAATAAAAAAAAACTATAAAAATTACGGAAATTATTAAAGAATGACAGAAATTCCAAAAAATTACGGAGAATTCGAAACTGTACGGAAATTACGACAGATTACCAAAACTACGAAGTTATAAGAATTACGAAAAAAAAAAAAGTAAATTATAAAAATTACGGAAATTATTGAAGAATGACAGAAATTATAGAGATATCAAAATTTTACAAGAATTACGAATTTTCAAAGTTACGAAAAAAACGAAATTTTGTGAAATTTGCGAAAATAATCAAAATTACGAAGAATTACGAAAAAAAAAAAAAAAAAAAACGAAAACTATAAAAATTACGAAGAAAATCGAAGAATTAAAAAAATTACGAAGAATTACGGAGAAATCCAAAATTTACGACAAACTAACAAAATTACAAAAATTACGAAAAAAAAAAACTAAAACTATAAAAATTACGAAGAAAATCGAAGAATTAAAGAAATTACGAGAAATTACGAAGAAATCGAAATTTTATGAAAATTATGAAAAAAATACGAAAACTACTAAAAATTACGGAAATTATTAAAGAATGACGAATGCAAGATTGACAAGAAATTAAAAAAATTAAAAAATCCAGAATAATTTGAAAAATCGAAGATAAGAATCGATTTTTTTGTGGAATCGATATCGATTTTTTTTATGTGATTGAAATCGATAACAAAAAATTGAAAATTGATTGGAAAATTATAAAATTTAAAATTCAGTATCAATTTAATATTGAATTGGTAAAAATATCGATTTTATTGGAAAATCGATAAAAATATCGATTTTCCTTAATTTTACGATTTTCTTCGTCATTTTTATGGTTTTCGTTTTTTTCTTTCTCGTAATTTTGCTAATTTGTCATAATTTTCGTAATTTTGTTAATTTGTTGTAAAATTTCGATATTTCGCTAATTTTTCGTAATTTCGTAAATTTTTCGATTTTTTTCGTTATTTTTATAGTTTTCGTTTTTTTTTTTTTTTATTTTGATTTTTCCTTATTTTTTTTTGTAATTTTTGTCGTTCTTTAATAATTTTCGTAAAATTTCGATTTCTCCGTGATTTTTTGAAATTTCTGTCTTTTTTCATAATTTCCGTAATTTTCATGGTTCTCAATTTTTTTTTTTACGTAATTCTTGTAATTTTGCTAATTTGTCGTAATTTTCGTGAAATATTGATTTCTCCGTAATTTCTTTTAATTTTTCGATTTTTTCCGTAATTTTCATTATTTTCGCTTCGTTTCGTAATTTTGTGAATTTTAGAATTGTAATTTTGTAAATTCCAAAACAATTTTTAAATTGAAAATTTTGTGAATTTTAAAATTATAATTTTGAGAATTTTAAGATTGTAATTTTATAAATTCAGGGAAAATTTCAAAATTGTCAATTTTAAAAATGAGATTGTGTGAATTCCAAAAAAATTGAATTGTAATTTTTTGAATGTTGATATTGTGATTTTGTGAAATCTAAGAAAATCGTAATTAGGTGAATTTAAGATTGTAATTTTGTGAATTTCAAAAAAAAAAATTCAAATTGCAATTTTATGAATTTTAAGATTGTAATGTTGTGAATTTTTAGATTATAATTTTATGAATTCAGAAAAAAAATTCAAAATTATAATTTTTTGAATTTTCGAGATTGTAATCTTATGAAATCTAAGAAAATTGTAATTTTATGAATTTTTAAATTGTAATTTTATGGATTTGAAGAACATTTCAGAATTGTAATT